GTTACAGTTTGGTTTTTTTAATATTATTTTCTGTAATAAACTGTTGAAACTTGATTATATTTTGTCGTGAATCACCTCCCTACATCCAACGAACTGAGATCGTAAAGGACAGATGGAGGGACCGCAGACATGTTCTTTAGTATTTAGTATTAGCCTGACAAAGCTTGTATGAACATTTGGTTCTGCAGAGCTAAAACAACCATACAAAGCCAACCCGGAATAATGCCAAAACTATGACAACAGATTCTAGAGAATGGACCAGGCAGAACACTTCAGATCAGGCAACAATGAACGGACAGACAGATGAAGGGCGATGCACAACATAATCTAACAGGACTTTTAGTCAGGTGAGTTAAAAATAACAGAGAAGATGGCCAACAGTACCAACTATGTGTAAGGCCACCCTGGGTTCATGCACAAACTTCAATATTGTTACAGATTCTTGAGAGTGGTACAGGCACATCATGTTGAAACAGGACACTGTCATTGAGGCAATCAGAGTAACTATGACACGTACAAGTCCCTGGTAGTCAATTTGCTAATACAGCAGTCAGACCACCTCCAAACATAGATCTTCATCATATTGCCATCGGGTCACCATAATCATGTGTTCAACTCAATGAACTTGCTTATTGATTGATACAGGGAAGGGCATCAGTAAGTCAAATATGTTTCTTGTGTCAAACATCAACCATGATAATATACCATATTTCACATCCACATACTTAAAATTCCCAAAATACAATGTAGAAATACCTGGATAATAGCACAAACAGAGGTCCAATTTTTATTTGTAGCAATATATTTTGTATAACACCACAGCCAGCATTATACCAGCTATATGACTGTAACTTCTAAATAATCAAGTCTTGACTCAGAAACAACCTTGAGTGAGTGAATGAGTGAGTGAGTGAGTGAGTGAGTGAGTGAGTGAGTGAGTACAGTTTTACACCACTTTTAGCAATATTCAAGCAATATCATATGGCGGGGAACACCAGAAATAGGCTTCACACATTGTACAATTACGGGGGATTGAACCTGGGTCTTCACGTGACGAGCAAACACTTTAACCACAAGGCTACCCAACCACCCCTTGTTTATATTGAGACGGGGCAAGGTAAACCAGTGGTAGACAGCATGGTCAACATCCACTGGGGTATGATATCACACAATCACAAATACCACTGAGCCTGACAAAGCTTGTTTGAACATTTGGTTCAGCAGAGCTAAAACAACCATACAAAGCAACCCGGATTTATGTCAAAACTATTACAACAGATTTTAGAGAATGGACCAGGCAGAACACTTCAGATCAGGCAACAATGAACGGACAGACAGATGAAGGGCGATGCACAACATAATCTAACAGGACTTTTAGTCAGGTGAGTCAAAAATAACAGAGAAGATGGCCAACAGTACCAACTATGTGTAAGGCCACCCTGGGTTCATGCACAAACTTCAATTTTGTTACAGATTCTTGAGAGTGGTACAGGCACACCATGTTGAAACAGGACACTGTCGATGAGGCAATCAGAGTAACTATGACATGTACAAGTCCCTGGTAGTCACTTTGCTAATACAGCAGTCAGACCACCTCCAAACATAGATCTTCATCATATTGCCATCAGGTCACTGTGTCTATGTGTGTGTAGAAATATTGAAATTTCCTCTGATTATGTAGGATAGATGGTAGCATTTACGTGGTTAATAGTTCCTTACCGATATGTAGTTCGCTTTGGGACAGCACGTTTCAGATCTTGCCCCACGTGCGGGCATGTGCGTTTGTCGGCTGCATGCTGATTTAGTGTTTTCAGTCGTGGGTCGTATTGTAAGAGCGCCCAGATTGGTTGGTGACAGACGGGATTAGCCAGTGGCTGCACCGTTTAGACATGTTGACCCAGAGGTCACGTGTCCTTGTGAGTATATAAGTGATTATCGCGAATGCTCTAGGAGGGGCCTGGCATGATCGGGAAGATCAATACAGGTGAGGGAGACCACACCAAATTACCCTGTTCGGAAGTCAAACAATTCCCCAATCCCTAGTGATTTTTGGCAAAATAGATCTAAATTATGTGGCAACTTTAGAATTCATGGGTAAACTGTTATAAAGGTGGGTTGGACAAGTGGATTTAATTCAGAAATAATATAATCTATGTGATGTAGCTACATTGACCGATTGTGTTAGGAGGTTTGGAAGGGTGGTTTGTTTGTCCTCGTAGACTGTGTTAAGGATGATTTAGTGATTATTTATTAAAGTGGGTTATGTAGGGGTTTGTTCGTCTGCTTTAGGCTGCTTCTGAGTTTTATTCTTAAGGTATAAGTAAGTAGGATATTTGGCTTAATAGTTTAAATTTAAGTTAGGAATAGGATTGACTGATTTGTAATTGTTGTTGAGTTTGCATGTATATTTTGTTACAGTTTGGTTTTTTTAATATTATTTTCTGTAATAAACTGTTGAAACTTGATTATATTTTGTTGTGAATCACCTCCCTACATCCAACGAACTGAGATCGTAAAGGACAGATGGAGGGACCGCAGACATGTTCTTTAGTATTTAGTATTAGCCTGACAAAGCTTGTATGAACATTTGGTTCTGCAGAGCTAAAACAACCATACAAAGCCAACCCGGAATAATGCCAAAACTATTACAACAGATTCTAGAGAATGGACCAGGCAAAACACTTTAGATCAGGCAACAATGAACGGACAGACAGATGAAGGGCGATGCACAACATAATCTAACAGGTCTTTTAGTCAGGTGAGTTAAAAATAACAGAGAAGATGGCCAACAGTACCAACTATGTGTAAGGCCACCCTGGGTTCATGCACAAACTTCAATATTGTTACAGATTCTTGAGAGTGGTACAGGCACATCATGTTGAAACAGGACACTGTCATTGAGGCAATCAGAGTAACTATGACACGTACAAGTCCCTGGTAGTCAATTTGCTAATACAGCAGTCAGACCACCTCCAAACATAGATCTTCATCATATTGCCATCGGGTCACCATAATCATGTGTTCAACTCAATGAACTTGCTTATTGATTGATACAGGGAAGGGCATCAGTAAGTCAAATATGTTTCTTGTGTCAAACATCAACCATGATAATATACCATATTTCACATCCACATACTTAAAATTCCCAAAATACAATGTAGAAATACCTGGATAATAGCACAAACAGAGGTCCAATTTTTATTTGTAGCAATATATTTTGTATAACACCACAGCCAGCATTATACCAGCTATATGACTGTAACTTCTAAATAATCAAGTCTTGACTCAGAAACAACCTTGAGTGAGTGAGTGAGTGAGTGAGTGAGTGAGTGAGTGAGTGAGTGAGTGAGTGAGTGAGTACAGTTTTACACCACTTTTAGCAATATTCAAGCAATATCATATGGCAGGGAACACCAGAAATAGGCTTCACACATTGTACAATTACGGGGGATTGAACCTGGGTCTTCACGTGACGAGCAAACACTTTAACCACAAGGCTACCCCACCACCCCTTGTTTATATTGAGACGGGGCAAGGTAAACCAGTGGTAGACAGCATGATCAACATCCACTGGGGTATGATATCACACAATCACACACACCACTGAGCCTGACAAAGCTTGTTTGAACATTTGGTTCAGCAGAGCTAAAACAACCATACAAAGCCATCCCGGAATAATGCCCAAACTATTACAACAGATTTTAGAGAATGGACCAGGCAGAACACTTCAGATCAGGCAACAATGAACGGACAGACAGATGACGGGCGATGCACAACATAATCTAACATGACTTTTAGTCAGGTGAGTTAAAAATAACAGAGAAGATGGCCAACAGTACCAACTATGTGTAAGGCCACCCTGGGTTCATGCACAAACTTCAATACTGTTACAGATTCTTGAGTGGTACAGGCACATCATGTTGAAACAGGACACTGTCGATGAGGCAATCAGAGTAACTATGACATGTACAAGTCCCTGGTAATCACTTTGCTAATACAGCAGTCAGACCACCTCCAAACATAGATCTTCATCATATTGCCATCAGGTCACTGTGTCCATGTGGGAAACTCACAAGTCAGAGAAATATACTTGTTTACTCATATTTGTTTGTGTTTGTTGATTAAGGCAAACAGTTGTGCAAAAAAAACAAATTAAGTTCAGTCATATTATCATGGTCTTGGCATCATATACCTTATGCTTTCCACAGGTCCAAGAGAAGATGGACATGGAAATGAATGGACAGACAACGTGCCATGATGGGAGCAAACAGGCACCTTCAGCACCTTCACTTTCAACGTCTTACTTTTAGAAACTGAAAAATTGTAACATACAATAGCTGAGAGTTGGGCTGAGGTGGTAATCTAGCCAAGAACTATCCAAACAACAGCCACTGTGAGCACCCAACAATGTCAATTATAACTGCCTGACCCCTGCCCCTGGCTTGTAACTTTTCTGTCGGGCTGCCTGAAATTATCCTCACCTGCCTGACTGTCTTGCGAGATAAATTTCGTTTAATTATAACTCTGCATAGATTCTCAAGCAATTGTCAGCATTAATTCAACTGAATCAAGATGCAATTTGGTTTTTTTTCAGGATTTTTTAATATTTATGATGTTTGACTGCATGCAGGTAACTTTAAAGTTGGGCATGCAACAATTATAGGTCACCTGCCCGACTATTTTGTTGGGTTTTAAAATTATCTCTAACACTGGCACCTCACAATCCTCATCATAGTGACATCTTACACCAACCATGAGACAGTGACATTAGCCATTAGACTGAAGCTAGAGCCTAAGTCAGCTCAACTAATTAAACTCAACAAAACAACGCTGAAATCAACAGTACACAATACTGAGATGTGATCTGTATCAAAATCAAAGCCAGTGAGACAATCTGAAGTCCCTGACACCACCATAGGCTTAGGTCTGTTATAGAACAGAAACCACACAAGACATGGTGTCGGGGTAATACTTTCAAGACAATACCATGACCAAATCACCTTAAGTGTGTTGTCTGCAGAGGAGGTGACCATGAGAGGTTCTGACGGGAGACATCGCATCCCAGTCACAGATGACGAGTGAGCATCTCGCATCTGACTCTTTAACTTTCTGTCTTCTAGATCCCACAATGCAATGTGGCCTGCGGTACTTCCTGTAGCCATCACTGGATGTCCATCTGAATACAGATGTGAAAGTAAGTAAACAAAGGGCAAAACATGCTGTCCTGTGTTATGTTTATTTATTGGAGAGAATAAGGGGGGGTTGTGTCTAAAGCTGCTTTCTGTAGCTTTAGGCCAATTCATGCCCCCACAACATGTTAGAACTAAATGATGTAAGTTGGATTGCTAAAACAAAAAAGAGACTTCATATAAAAATATCAAATGTCATCAGAAGCAAGGTGAGGTGAAATGGGGTATAACACCATGTTCCAGATTATTGCACTGTAGCGACGTGTGTGTGGCTGCTTGCTGGACTAATGCTGATTTTATAGTGCTAGCCCACTGAGATACCATGCCACAGTTTAACATGACAACCCCACTCAGACACAGTATACTGACTCCAAGCCGGCCAGTCCTTGTTTTAGCCCTTTAATACCCACCACCAGGCAGAGTAAGAACAAGCACCATCTTTTAATGTCTTTCGTTATGACGCGGCCAGAGATTGAACCCCCGACCTTATGCTCTCCGGGAAGACGCTCTGTTCACTAGACCATGAAGCAACACTCTATGGCATCGGGGTACGATCTCACACAATCAACCAAGAAATGGAGCATGACTACCTGACTTGATCCTTCCTTTGTACACCCTAGTCTGACTTGGAATCCCCACAGCGGCATACAGAGTGATGTATATTGCGTGAAGCTTATCGTGTATTGTATAGTATCCTATATAATATAAGACCATGGTGCATCGAACTTAAAATGTAGTTTTGCTTGTCTTGTATTCATTATCAACATGCAGGGATAAATATAAAAAAGAGTACAGATAAAAATATTTAGGTGTGTTGTTTGGAATTTAAGTGTGCCAACAAGAATTCTTTTGATACATCTCTGAACAAAGTGAAAGTGGTTTCACTGTAACCTGAATATTTAAGAACTGTAATGTAGAAAGTTTTCTCTCTTCCTTTTCCATTTCTGAATCCCCAGGTTGATTTGATGAATCATACAGTACATATTCATATGTTTGTCATTGTCTATGTGTCTGTCCAGTTTTCTGGTGTGTGAGTTCATTTATTGCTGACTACACTGAATAAAGATCATCACAAGGTTCTTTGGTTCACAAATTAGGATTTCAAAGTGTGCCATTCAGGTACATGGACTAATGTTAACAGTGCAATTATCATGGTATCTTTACTACAAGGAATGTTGCCCCCTGTCATGCATTACCTGTCCTGAAAGAAATGGTAGTCACAGGCCCCCAGTCTTGAGTGAACTTCATCAGTGTCTCGTCCAGCTTCAAATTGTGCAGGATGATCCTGCCGTCCGCCAGGCCGCATCCCACAATGTCCACTGCTGGAGCCTAGTGGACACAATGAACCTGTTAAACTGTATACGATACATGTCTACTGCAATACACAGTGCTGTACTTTGATTCATATCAGAAAACAGAAGTCAAGCACAAGGAGCTGGGGGACATTCCACAATGGAAACCACACTGGGAGACAATTATGGTATGCTGGAGACCTGTTCTTCCTCGGAATCCCAACTGGGAGACAAGCATAGGGTGTTGGAATATTATGACGGGGCACACCGGGGCATACCAGAAATGGGCTCCACACTTTGTACCAATGTGAGGAATTGAACCCGGGTCTTGGCCTGACAAGTGAACACTTTAACTACTAGGCTACCCCACCGCCCCCTTCATCACTAGAAAGCCGTACCTGTTCTAGCACGAGGATGGGCGAGTCCCAACTGGTGAAGGAGTAGATGAGTCTGTCGACCCGGATGTTCCACAGCTGCATGATGCCCTGCTTGCTGCCCACCAGGATCTTGTTCAGGTAGGTGTTGGGATGGAGCATGGCCGTCACTCCAAAGGAGTGGTTATAAAAATTCATCTCTAAGTAGATTTCTGAAAACAATATAAAGATGTTATGATAAAACTAAAAAGGTTGGAGTGTCAGGATTCACCAATGTGTTGGAGTGTACCTGGACAGCCTAATTTTCTTCACTTATAAAATCTCACATCAGGTTATTATCCCTGGATTTGTGGGATTATCCTGTTGTCACCATAAGGTAACAGTTTGCCGAGATGTTGTTCACTCAATCATATATTGTGCTGTTTTAACTAATTGTCTACCTTATGGGAGGTTACCAACACTGACTACCTAATATTGGTGGTCACTGAGCCGTAACGACATACCAGAGCAGGCCAAGTCACCAAGTATGGGTGTCTTTGTTGTAGTAACAAGAAATTTCAACGTCACAAGCATCTCTTGCAGCCCCCTTGTTATTCCGACCCTTACAGAAAAGTAACCTTGTTACTCCGACCCTTACAGAAAAGTAACCTTGTTACTCCGACCCTTACAGAAAAGTAACCTTGTTATTCCGACCCTTACAGAAAAGTAACCTTGTTACTCAGACACCTACAGGAAAGTAACCTTGTTACTCCGACCCTTACAGAAAAGTAACCTTGTTACTCTGACCCTTACAGAAAAGTAACCTTGTTACTCCGACCCCTACAGGAAAGTAACCTTGTTACTCCGACCCCTACAGGAAAGTAACCTTGTTACTCCGACCCTTACAGAAAAGTAACCTTGTTACTCCGACCCTTACAGAAAAGTAACCTTGTTACTCCGACCCCTACAGGAAAGTAACCTTGTTACTCCGACCCCTACAGGAAAGTAACCTTGTTACTCCGACCCCTACAGGAAAGTAACCAAGTTACTCCGACCCCTACAGGAAAGTAACCTTGTTACTCCGACCCCTACATGAAAGTAACCTTGTTACTCCGACCCCTACAGGAAAGTAACCTTGTTACTCCGACCCCTACAGGAAAGTAACCTTGTTATTTCGACCCTTACAGAAAAGTAACCTTGTTACTCCGACCCCTACAGGAAAGTAACCCAGTTACTCTGACCCTTGAAATATTATCATGCTCAGTAAATAGTCTCCATAGGATAACATGTAAAACAAAACAAGCCTGGTCTCGGAAAATGATAAGGTGTTTTAACACCTAAAATAAGATACATTTAAATATGAACTGGCCATGCCCTTGAACAAGGGACGTCAGTGGTATATATTTTAAAATATTTAGTTAGCTCTCTTCGCCAGCTGTCCTTACCTTGAGACTCAATATCCCAGACAAAGACGTGACTGTCTTCCTCTACTGATATCAGGTGTTCTCCAAAGGGCAGGAGTATGTGCACATCACTCTTGTGGCCCTCATAGGTATATACTGCCTGCCACATAGAAATATAGAAACATGACACCATAGTTATATAAGCAAAACCAAAGATAATAGTACAGCGGGGTAACAAATTATGTGCTTGGAGTGAGTGAGTGAATGAGCGAGTTTGGGTTAACATTTCTTTGAACTGTTATTTCAGGCCTGCCAACCTGACGTGGTAAGGGAGCCTAAAGTAATGGATGTCTTAGACATTTACCACTTTAGTGAAACCATTGAGCACAGATATGGTGCTGACAAACCTAGACACTTAATCAGGGCAAATCCGAGATATGAAGACACTATCATAGATTTCTGCATCTTCCTGAGGCAAGAGAGTTAACTGACTGTAAACATGGTAAAAGTCCAGTTTCCACCCTTGCCGAATTTTGCTGGAATTACTGGGCTCGATCGTAGCGCCACCAGTGGCTATTACCAGTTATGTCCCTTCTAAGCCTCTCTTATGGACCAATCAGATTCCACCTCTCGTATCCCTTGCGTTTGCTTCACACAAAATGCTGGCGCCCGGTCAGGGCGATCTGATCGATAATCAAGATATATATGTGATAAAACGGGTCTTACATCGCGAAATGCGTGAGCACCTTGATTAAAAACATGAAAAGATTTGGAAAATATCTGCTGACAACGAGTTGGCGGTGCACATGCTTTGCAAATCCTGCAATCGACCGAAATCTGCACGACAGTTAACGAACGGAATTTTGATTTTGGTGCACGATTTTGATTGGACTATACGTAGACTCTTTAGTCCAGCCAAAATGTAACTCCATAATACCAGCCTAGTTCGGCAAGGAAACTGGACTTTTATAGTCAGTTAACTTTCTTGCCTCGGGAAGGTGAGATTTCTGTCACCTCCAAGAGATGCAGTTTGGGCAATAAATTGCCATTTGCCTGGACATGAAACATAACCTATAGACATGTCACAGATGTTGACACAAGGATGGGGAGGACATTTCTTGTGTTAATACATATTTTATTTATTGTCAACTTACTGAACACAAGTTAGTTGAATTAAACAGTTCAGTTTGGCTGGTTCTGCTCATGAATCATGTCAATAACAATGGTCATGTTGTGAGGGAGAAGACTCTATAAACATTTATCTCAAATCAAATTTCCTCAAATTTTAACAAACTATCCTCGACAGAACCTGATAAACACATTTGCCCAACCACTTCACTAATCGTTAAACATTTCATGCATTTTTGTCACGTTTTTTTAGACTCCTCTCTGGTTTATACCCCTTCCAACATCTAGATTTTCCAGCCATCTTAAATATGAATACTTCACAGGCTTATTAATGCAAGACTTCTAGTGTGACGATGTGTGCAGCACCAACCATAGCCTCGTGACCATCAGCTCACCAGAATGCTTCGATGCATGCAGTGCTAGGGTTCCCAAAGAAGGTCATTCACAGAGATGCATGCATTTGACTGCCTTGTGTTCCGTACAGCTTCATTTCATTAGTGAATAAAAACTAAGAAATACATCACTACTGCACTGCATAGAAGCTATATCTATTCACAGGTGATGGAGATACATAGTGTATACAAACCAAAGAAGCAGTGATGACACATGTGATGAGTCCATGGACCCATACAAGGCCACACTTTTTAAATTTTATGTTTCACGGATTTATTCTAGCCTTCCTGCAGAAGGTCGGTCGAAATAAAAATAAGTAGCTATGTCATTTATTTATTCATATATTTATTTATATATATATTTATTTATTTATATTAAAAGTTCTTCTTGAATGACTTATAGTGATCTGGACATGGAATTTATGTTTTACATTTTATACTGAGGGTCTATCATGGTCTATATTATAAGCGGGAGTTATAAAAATTAAATATTTTTATGTTTAATTGGGGGGAAGGCTGCTTTTCGGAAGGGCGCAGGACCCGTGAACAGAAAAATAAAACATGTGTGGCCCACCTGACACTTGGAATCTGTCAGTATTTGTGTAAGTCCACTAACAACCATATATCATTCTTTAGCATGGAAATATTATCCACAACTGGGACATTTAAAAAGTATACCTGGACTTAAATGGTTTTCTGGCCCAGTCTTGATTATTAACATGCAGCCATGTCAGAGCTGAAATATTGCTGACTAAGGCAACATTTACTTCAGTTGACTTCCTAATACCTTTCTCCCTTTCTTGAAGGCCTGGATGGTTGTGCCGCAAGCAGAATACACATACTTGGCATCAGCTGCTAGGCAGGTAACATCAGCTGGATGAATATCACCTGGATGAAAGAAAACATCAGTTGACATTTCTTCACAAATGAAACACTTGAAAATAATTAATTCAACTGAATTAAATACTTATCTTGATAACTACCTTTTTTCTTCATGTTTTCGTAAAATTGAACTCTTTTACAATTCTGTAAGTCAATAGTCAGAGCTGTGGACTAGTTGGCTATAACCAAAACTGTCTACCCCTGGATATATAGACTAACCTGCTTGAGTTAGGATAATTTGACCCTTGCTATAGGATTGAGGCCAGCACAAATCACTCTCAGAATGGAAAATCTGATTATTTTGTAGCTCATTCGAGTCATTGGTTAATTAGGTGAAATGGAGTGTGCATGTGTGTGTGTGGCTGCTTGTACAAGTCTGAACTTACATTGGTTTTATGGTTCTAGCCCGCTGAGATACCATGCCCCAGTTTAACATGATACACCACTCAGAGACATTATACTGACTTTGAGCCCTACAGCCCTTGTTTTAGCCCCTTTATGCTGAGTGCCAGGCAGAGAAACAACAAATACCACTTTTAACATCTTTTGGTATGACACAACCAGGGGATTGAAACCATGGACCTTTCCGGACAGACACTATCCCTTAGACTACAGAGAGGTTCAACTGATTAATAAAAGGAAACTTACTGACACTGACGATACCAAGTTTGGAGCACTGAAAACAGAAAAGAATAATCAATTAATTATTGTCTCAACAATTCCAAACATGCATTGATAAATCATTTTGCTGTATCTATTAAACCCAAACCATCTGATTTAAGAAAGGACATACGCATCATCTGATGATAGAAATAACTATGATAACAGAATTTTTTTTCACAACAGGCAACACAAACAACCTCTTCCATTTGAAACACAAGACATAAGTAAAGCTTAATGAAATAATAGCCATTGTTCTCAGGCACCGGCTGCATCATCATAAAGTATGCCGCATGTTTTGTTTTTATTTACATTTTCAAAACAAACAAAAAATCTGAAATATTCTTTGTCTCGAAAACAAATCATTGTATAAGTGTATAATGCACACACTGGTAGTCAAGCGGTAGTCTAATACTGTATTCCAGTCTTTTACTCATCAAGGAATACATTCATGTAGGGAGGCCTTTTCCATGTTTCCTAGGTTGATTGTACACAACTGTTTATTTAGTTACACACTAGATTGAACCCCCTCCTCCCACCCCATCCCACCCCCCAAAAATACTACCTGCCTGCCCGCACTATATTTTCAAAAGCCATTGCTTGAGAACCAATTACTTCATTTTTTTTAAGCCTCATATTCGTAATGGTCTGTCAAAATATGGAAAAACATGATTACATTCAAATGTTTTTGTGCAATCTTGACCATTGTTTACCATCTCGTCTGTAAGATACAGTCAACGGAAATCACCGAGTAATTCCAACAAGAAGTCGTTTAGCAATAGTGGAACTTGCAACTAATGTGAAGAACTCTTTCATTTCAAAGTTTAATTTAGTCAAAACATGAAATAAAAATTAACATAAGTACTTTTAATTAAAATGACCACACCCATGAGGCACTGTACATAATATTCATGCAGGTCATTTCTTATATAATGTTTGCCATGAGCATGGCAGCACTAGTAATTTCAGTCCTGAATATGATTATAATAATGAATAATGATACATACTTTTGTTCTCAAAATATTAACACGAATACCAACTGGTAACTGATCACAAAAAGCAACAATGACTCAGGAAATTATCTATGTATATGTACTTGGATTGAATTTCCAAGTCTTACACACAAAAGTTCGCCTCGACAAAACTGAATGTTCATCAGTAGTTCAAGACACTCTTGTTGTGCCCTTGCTTCATGGCAGGAGCAGCAACAGGGATGCAAAGAGGTAACTGTTTCCAATGGAGACTATGGTCCATGCAGTGGTGCCCATTTCCAGTCTTAGCCTTGACATTGTAAGATGTGCCATGTGGGAAATTGAGTCATTTTCTCTGTGTGACTAGAGTAATACTGTTAGAATGATCATATGATATGATAAAATTTAAGATATTGAATGACTTCAATCAAACTTGCTGGGGTCAGTGTCACCCCGTCATTTCCCGTCTCGATCGTAGCGCCACCTGCATTATTATGAGTTTAGTCACTTCTATGTCCGTCCTATTGACCAATCAGATTCCACCTCTCACATCAGTTGCATTCGCTTCAAATGGCAGCAACTCGTTAGTCCAGCCAGAATATAACTCCATAATCCCAGCCTAGTTCAGCAAGGGTTGAAACTGGACTTTTATAGTCAGTTAACTCCCTTGCCTTGGGAAGGTATGGGGATGTTCTCGTTTGCCTACCTTCAGAAAACAGTACCACAAACTTTTCAAACACGTGACAATACCCTATGACATAATTTGTAGTAATTTGTTGCCAATCACACCGGTGAAACAATGCCCTGTGACATCAGGGGTCATCGAGTGTGCATAAGCTCCTCCCATTTATCTATGATCTCTACACGAAAATGTCATTGAATACGCCAAGCGCTGTGGAGAGTTTTGAATATTTGTTTACTAAATATAACCTGTGGCAGCGCATTTTATAGCAAGCACTAGTTTATGAAAGCACTTTTATTTTTTATATATTTTATATTTTTGTTTTTCTTGTAATTCAAGTGGCTAAAATGGTTATAAATGGGAACAAATATACATATATTATTTTTTCGGTTCATTAATTTTAATTATTATGCACAAGAATGCTGATTATTAGGGATATTATATTGGCGCTGAACACATGCAAATATCGCTAGTGTTTTGGTAGGTTACCCCGAACTCTGTCCTTAGCCCTTGGATCCCCTTTATGATCAATCATCCCTTTACGATCATTAGGGTTAGGTAAATCTACCCCTTTAGTGGCTATTACAGATTCTATAGCGGCTCCTAATATTCTTCACACAAAAACGTGGAGTAAATAGGATGAAAAGGTTTTATGTTGAATACTTTGGCTATTGGAAACTGTCCTGGAACATTTACGCAAGCCACTTTCACCGGTTACATTTTTTCAGTACTGATTCAAAAGCGAACTCACCGTTGTTTCATCACTAGCCATGCACATGCCTCCTTCTTTCCTTACTATTATCCAAATCACGAGACACCATGCCTACCCGTAACCTTCGTAAGTGTAATTCAACCCTTTTAATTCAGTTCTGTAACGTTGTAGGCATGACTAGGTAAATTTGCACTTTGTTTCACAGTGTGGATGTAGCTCAGTCGAATAGCTGTCCGGCACAGGAACTCGTTATTGGTCAGTAAATAAAAATATATACCCCCTATATTTAAGTACTTACATATAGCATGATATAGGGGGTATATATTTTTATTTACTGACCAATAACGAGTTCCTGTGCTGTCTGGCTAACAATACGAAGTTCGCGTCCGACGTATTCTCACAAAAACTGGTTGCTTGTCTTTGAGACATGAGACACGTGATTTTGTGGTACTGTATTCTAGAGGTGCTCCTCGTTTCTCTTTAGCCAATTTGAGCCTACGTTTAAGATTAGTGGAAGTAGGGCGCACTTATCGTGCCTTTATTGTTTGGTTTTAAAATATTGGTTTCGAATTATCATTTTAATGCTATTTGCAGTATTTTGCACTCACATTGTATGTGTGGAATGATTTTCCAACGCTGGTGCACACATAATTTTCTTTTTCTCTTTGGTGATGGCGTACAACAAGTGGGATGTCATTGCTCACATAGCCTAATGCCCGGTATCCAGAGAATATTTTGCTAGCACTTGGCATTGTTGCTGAGCTTTTGAAAAGAAATAACTTTAGGAAAATCACATGGCAAATTTGTTTTGATTCACCACGTGCAATTTTAAACCGGAAACAGTATTTATTCCCGCATTAAGATTAAACTGGTTCCACTGTTGGTACGCGACGCAAGCCTGACTCTTAAACTTTAGCTAGACATGAGCCCAGTCTAGCAGTGGCGGTCAATTATTTTACGACAACTTATTATTGATTGTAACTTAATATTAGGATATCATTTATGAAACTTAGCATTTGTCGTGTTACGAGAACCGACATTGATATATACACAAAATATGATGTAACTTATTTCAAGAATTAAAATGAGGTAAACGCATTCAGCCACCTGTTTATGGCACATAGGTTTGTTCTAAAATTGGATTTGCTTTTGATGTTGTCAGCAGAAACTTCAAGGAAAGGCAGTGTCTACAAACATCCGTAGTTTATAACTGTGATTATGAAGAAATGTATGTATATTGGTTGTCTCAGTGAAGACATTTCAAGCAATGACAATTATGTGGAAGTGAAAACGGTCCTTCCAAACGCAGCCGGACTGAAGAAATTGAAATCTAAACTGCAAATAAAATGGAAACGGAATGGAGAAGCAGTTTTCCATCGCACCTGTTGGAACGACTTATCGAAATCATCACGCGCGAGGAAAAAATATCCCAATCTACCAGTTTTGTCAGCAGAAGAAAAATGTTTGGTGAAGGAAGCGTCAAAGACAGCAGAGTTCTTTGATTCCGAACAATCTCTGAATGAGAAAGCAGCCAAATGTGCCCAGCTCATAAAGTCATCTGAGCATTGCACTGCATTCACTGGTGCGGTCAATAATAATCATGATAATATATTTATGCTTTTATCTTAAAAAGTACAAGAGTTGTTTATAAACTGTATAAATATTAGCAGTCCCTTGTGTGGTTGCAAAGTCTTACAGCTACGAACTGCTTGGAATTTACCATCAGACATCAGAGACCATAATCATGATAATGGTCTCTGCTGACATCTACTGGTGTCGCTAATAAATAGCTCTGATTAACGCCTACTGCATTTTAATAGAGACCGATGTTGATGTTGTTCCGGCCTCACAAGCTCTTGTCCGAGTGCATTAAAAACTGTAGAGGAAGTTTGAATATTGTCTTATTGAGGTTTTTTTATATTAAAGCTAATTTGAATTATTTGTCCTGTTGTTTGTAACCAATCACCATGGTTTCTGTCTCAGGTGCAGGCATTTCAACCTCTGCAGGTATCGGTGATTATCGTGGGAAGAGTGGAAAATGGACGCAACAGGATCAGGACGCAGTGGACATGGATGCAGTGTTGGGGACATCAGCAGAACCACTTGACGAGGAAGAAGATGAAGTAGTTGCAAAGAAATTAAAGAAATCCGATAGTCATGACAATGATGGTATGCGTTCATTCCAGGTCATGCCCATTCACTCTTTTAGACTTCAAGTCAAGTACATGGTCAGTCAGCATGATCAGTGTTAATTGTAGCATGAATCTGTCTCTGCTGAACCAGTCACTTCAAAATGTTTGAGTTTGTTTTCTGTTCAAATTAAAAACTGGAAATGAAACTATGGCTGGAACAGGTAACCTGGGTACTCGGGTCAGGTGGGTCCTGAGTAGGGTATCCACATGACTACCCGATCCTGTGGTTTGTCATGTGATATATAGAGGATTCATCACGAGTGTTTTTTAATATGGGAAATATCAACCGAGTCTTAGTTAATCGGTATTTGCCGAGCCTTCGGCGAGGCAAATACCGATTAACGGGACGAGGTTGATATTTCCCATATTAAAAAACACTCATGATGAATTCTATTTATCATTTTACATTTTTGCTTCCCAATTAAGGAATAATTGCATTAAACATTAACATCAGCAACTTGTCGAAATCTTACGTATAGATCGTGCGTAGTGATACATGTTTTCCATAGCCGTGTAAACCAAAATAAACAACCTCTTAACTCCTTTATGACATATTCCTTCGCTGAGAAAAAAAGTTCCTCGGATTATTTTAAACAAAATACTTGAACAGACTTTTGCAGAATAATTGAAATAATGTCTCCAACATCAAAGGTATCCATGTTGTTTGTTAACACCTACTCAAGTGTACCGGCGAAAAAAGTCCCACTTCCGGTTATCTAATTTGCATATCTAATTTGCATACTTATGTCATTGGGGTATGACATACATGTTTTTATGTCATAAGCTTATGTCATGAATAAATGCTTTAGTGAAATGATAAATACTGGTTAACGATATTAACAATAACCCTCCATGCTTACACTACAAGTCACTTATGTTTGCATTTATTTCCGAGTATGCAAGAATTCATTCTGACTTTTATTTGTTCAAGTAAGGATAATGCATCTATCAACTACAGTCTTTGCATGATCAGATCGTTGATATCAGAGCTCCAGATAAGCTGCGTATCTGCATAAAATACGCATCAGAAATGCAGAAATACCCAGTAAAATAAAATCCAAGCGTATCAAATACGCAACGAACATTACAGATACGCTTGAAAATAAAAATTGTGCGTATCATCAAAATATTGTGAAGTAACCCTGCGTATTCGATTAGCAAATCAGCAACTTATTTTGAAATTATAAACGGACATTCCGTCAACCTTGCCAAACTCCACGATGACAGTTTATACATCATGATCATTTGCCATCACACTTTCTTGTGGAAGTATCGTGGTATTTTTGAGTCCTATAAACCTCTCGAACCCACACGACACCAGTTTGCAGGGACTAGATGAATAGTGTTTTTAAATGTTTAACTTAAATACCCACATGTGTAAAAACTAGTGGGTAACAGAAATTTGAATACCCAGATAGAATTACTGATACCTAATGATTTTAAAATGCATGCGTAAAATACCCACAGCACCAAAAGCTTATCTGGAGCTCTGTTATATACATGTGTCTTATTAGTTTCTGCCAGGACTGGGGTGAAACAATTGATTTTGTAAAGTTCTACACAAGACACGTGTGATATTTGTATCACAAATGGAAACAACTTTGCGTTCATCATGATTGCTGACAGTTGTGTTTATTATTGTTCAGCTGTTGATCGTTTGATCAAACTCTGAATGACTCAAAGTTTTGCAGTGAAGGGAGCTATAAATCACACTTTTACTTTAATCTGTTAACAGGTTTAAAATGAACACTAATTCACCTGTGTATAAAGCTGTTAAAAGTTTTAGCAATAGTTTACAGATGCTATGAAATAGTGAAGTTTCAATATCCACAGGTTTCGAAATGTTTGACAATATAGCCAACTGAACAATCACTTGTCCTGAAAATATGCTAGACAATTGCGAAACATTGTCTTTAGCCTGTTTTAAAGCCTGATTTCAAAATGACTGGACCTCAGTTATTATTTTTTGCTTTTGTCTTCTGGACCAGCATATTTGTGGAATCCTGGAAACCGTACAAAAGATGTGGCGAGTGAACCCTTTATGAAGCCATTTTATTTTTTCGGAAGGGAAACACTCATTTTTTAATTCTGAAAAAACAAACAGCCCAACATCCAGATTACTTTTTAAAGTCATTTCTACATTGTTAGCACAAAGTAATTAAAATATGTGTTATTCTTTTCTTCTCCAGTCAAAGAAGAAGTTGAGGAAGAGGAGCCTGGCGGTGTGTCGTATGAATCTCTCCGTCCCACCTACACCCACGAAGCCATGCAGAAACTAGTGGAAAAAGGCTACCTTAAGTATATCATTAGCCAGAATGGAGATGGCCTACATGGCTTGTCAGGAGTACCAGCTGATAACATGTCAGAATTGCATGGAAATGTGTTCATTGAGATCTGTAACAAATGTAACACACGCTACAGTAGACCATACTACACGATGGATGACACAGGAAGTCAGTACTACGAGGAAGTTGAGGATTATGGGAAGTCAACAGTATCCAAGCCGCCTCATGCTAGAAAGTGTGACAGGTGTGGACTAAGTCACCGAACTGGACGCAGGTGTGAAAAAAAGGTCTGAATATTTATCAGTTTGGTATCATTTCTATTCTGGTATGAAAGGCACTTAAAGTTAAGAGTGTCTGTGGTTGATTTTCTTAATAACTACAATAAGCTTATGTAGAGGGGAATGTCCGAGTAACTCTCCATTCCTTGAAAATAATGGAGCAGAGGCCCATTATTTTTAAGGAGTGGAGAGCTACGAGGATATTCCCCTACTTAAAACTCATCCCTACTTTTACACTTTGACAAAATATTCTGTTGTGGAAAATATTTGAAAAATAAACCAGAACTCTTTGTAGACTGTATTTATATGCCGGGGAATGCGTTCTCTGCAGCTGATGCACATGCGCCAAGCTCTGTCGCGAGCTGACATTTACAATACATGGTACACGGCTCTTCATAATTTTGTTGGGTCCTAAACAAGTATCTATCAATCTATTTTGAGCTTTTAAGCATTATGCAAAATTATAAAAAATATTTCATAGTTAATTTCACACCATACATTCATGTGCCGCTGTAGCTGAGGTTGACAATTACACGTTCTCAAATCAAACGATGCGGGTTCGAACCCCGCTGGTGATACATGTTTTTGGGAAGAAAATGAAATTATTCACTTGTCAATAAATGTAAAAAATAGTTCCTTCCATTCCAAGTGGAAATTAATTCGAATGATGGTTCAAGATAATGTATAGTTGACAAACAACTCTCCATTCCTGAAGAAAAATGGTGCATTCAAACAACAGAATGACGTTACAGATGTGTTTTAATAAGGCTTCTGAGCATGTGCAGTGACATGACATCAATAAAGTCTTAGAAATCAAGTGAAGCATGTCAAATGTCACAGCCAGCGACCCCCATGTTCAAACCTTGACACAGTGAAGATCCGGATCAGAATAGATCTTCAGCAACCCATGCTTGTCGTAAGAGGCGACTAACCGGATCGGTTGCTCAGGCTCGCTGACTTGGTTGATGCATTTCATCGTATCCCAATTGTGTGGATTGATGTTCATGATGTCAATCATTGGATTGTCTGGTCCAGACTCAATTATTTTCAGACCGCCATCATAAACATAATAAAGCTGGAATATTGCTGAGTGTGGCATTTAAGAACAAAAAATAAATAAATCATACCTTGAACTCCCCAGATGTATTACAGAGAGCACCCTAAAATAGAAATTAGATAGACCCTGTAAATGAAAATGTTTTGCATCATTGTATGGGTTATTCATGATTTAAATTATAATTGTGTCATACAGCCCATTTAATCCTGTTTAACACTGGCATTCTTTCCAAATTGTGATGCATATACTGTGTATATAAATTAGACACAATACTTACACAAGGCAGGACTGGACACCATGTTAACAATAACCTTATAGATACTGTTTTTTCTAATTTTAGGGTTTAGAGAATATTTGCTCAATAATTTGCTTGGTTCCATCAAAATGAGATTGTTTCATCTTTTGTCTGTCTGAGAAACTGTTAACTGATAACTGTAAATTAACAAAAGTGTAGTCTTATAAGCTGTACTGAATAAAGTGCAAGTGAATTTATCTGTGTTCCGTATGAATCTCTATCATGTTTGTTGACATATATTGTGAACCATATGAATATATTCATGTGTAATTGTCAGGGCTGCAAGGGACATCTCAAAGACTCCATCATCAACTTTGGTGACCTCCTGGAAGAAGATATCCTTGACCGAGCCAAGCATCATGCAGAATGTAGTGACCTCATGCTGTGTCTGGGGTCCACACTGATGGTGACCCCTGCGAACTCTCTAGTGGAGATGACTAAGGAACCACACAGGCTGGCTATATGCAATAGGTACAAACCTTTTCTTCTTCATTCATTCTTTTGATGGCAGCATTGGTGACTCTGTACATTAATGCCTGCAATTTTCAGAGTTATGTCCCTTAGTCTTGCCAGAATCCTATGATTGTGGGTTCAAAACTCAGATTCGCCCGGATTATGATTCTTTGTTTGTCGGTACCGTACAGGTGATCATAGGCTTCATCAACATGATAACTCCTGTTAGATCTTTATCACTTCGGGCTTGTTAAGCTTTGTTAAAGCAGTCTTGCTCTTGTATCTCTAATATTTTGCCAAACATTTTACAGCTAAAATTCTAAAATCTGCAGGCTTGTTTGGGGCCCTTACAGCAAACACTTTTTGATGCAGTGATGACAATTTCATGTCCGTGATGTGAAACAACATTGACCCACGTTATGTCTTATGGTTGACATCTGATCTACAACAAGATTTCTTGTGTTCCAGACAGAAGACTCACATGGACCGTAAGTTGGGCGGAGGTGTGCGTGTGTTTGGGGACTGCGACGTGTTCATGAAGGAGGTGATGAGAGGGGTGCTGGAGGTTGAGGAGCTGACCACGTGGGAGGAGGCAAGACAAAAGAGGATGAAGCACTATGACAGTCAGAGGACGCCAGTGTGACTTGGAAGGGGAAAGGCTATGTAGCCTCCTATTAGTGCTGGCAAAGGAGACTCCGATGTTAAGACTGTTGTAACTCCCCTTCTCTTGCCGTGACAAAGTCTGTGTATCCATCCATCCATTTCTGGCTCAAAATGAGGAATCTTTCAGGGAATCATCAGTAAATTGGACACACATTATTGGCCAAGTCTTGTTCAGTTTTTAAATTTTCAAATCATTTTTTGTTTCCATGTGCTAGAAGTTGAAGAAGACATTATTTTGTGATAGTGGACACAATTAATATATTTTGGGTGTTGCCCCTTATACATCTTTACACATTGTCCTTCATATATGATATATATATATTTACACACTCTTCAAACATTTTGTATGTATATTTATTTATTTTATGACATGATGAAATAGACCCATTGCAGATATTTTGAGCACTTGTACTTCAATTTAATAAACAACATTTTTTTTAATTGTTATTTGGTTTATATCTAACCTGACTGAACTTTTTAAGTGAGCATGTGTCAGGGCCTGCTTGTCCAAGGCCGGCTTATGGCATCAGTGGCACCTGCTTACATCAGCTCTTCAGAAACCACTGGGGCAATTACTCTCAAAATTCATATTTATACTTAACAGGACACCCGAATTTGTAAAAGTTGTTTGAATTATAATTATTTGAACAAACTATGACAATATATTAAAGATTGGAACAAGGATTGTATGTCATGGTGATTTACCATTTGGAGCCTTGTTCACCATCAGGCTGGTGTTTTTCCAGTAGATGAGCAGACAGAGAGAGGCTTCACTATATAGATCCTTGTTCACCATCAGGCTGGTGTTTCTTTGTGTGATGAGCAGACATAGAGAGAGGCTTCACTATATAGATCCTTGTTGACCATCAGACTGGTGTTTCTTTGTTCGATGAGCAGACGTAGAGAGAGGCTTCACTATATAGATCCTTGTTCACCATCAGGCTGGTGTTTCTTTGTTCGATGAGCAGACGTAGAGAGAGGCTTCACTATATAGATCCTTGTTCACCATCAGGCTGGTGTTTTTCCAGTAGATGAGCAGACATAGAGAGAGGCTTCACTAGATAGATCTTTGTTCACCATCAGGCTGGTGTTTCTTTGTGTGATGAACAGACATAGAGAGAGGCTTCACTATATAGATCCTTGTAGACCATCAGACTGGTGTTTCTTTGTTCGATGAGCAGACGTAGAGAGAGGCTTCACTATATAGATCCTTGTTCACCATCAGACTGGTGTTTTTCCAGTAGATGAGCAGACATAGAGAGAGGCTTCACTATATAAATCCTTGTTCACCATCAGACTGGTGTTTTTCCAGTAGATGAGCAGACATAGAGAGAGGCTTCACTATATAGATCCTTGTTCACCATCAGACTGGTGTTTCTTTGTTCGATGAGGGACGTAGAGAGAGGCTTCACTATATAGATCCTTGTTGACCATCAGACTGGTGTTTCTTTGTGTGATGAGCAGACGTAGAGAGAGGCTTCACTATATAGATCCTTGTTCACCATCAGACTGGTGTTTTTTCAAGTGATGAGCAGACGTAGAGAGAGGTTTCACCATATGGATCCTTGTAGATCATCAGACTGGTGTTTCTTTGTGTGATGAGTAGACATAGAGAGAGGTTACACCATATGGATCCTTGTAGACCATCAGACTGGTGTTTCTTTATGTGATGAGCAGACATAGAGAGAGGTTTCACCATATGGATCCTTGTAGACCATCAGACTGGTGTTTCTTTGTGTGATGAGCAGACATAGAGAGAGGTTTCACCATATGGATCCTTGTAGACCATCAGACTGGTGTTTCTTTGTGTGATGAGCAGACGTAGAGAGAGGCTTCACTATATAGATCCTTGTTCACCATCAGGCTGGTGTTTTTCCAGTAGATGAGCAGACATAGAGAGAGGCTTCACTAGATAGATCTTTGTTCACCATCAGACTGGTGTTTCTTTGTTCGATGAGCAGACGTAGAGAGAGGCTTCACTATATAGATCCTTGTTGACCATCAGACTGGTGTTTCTTTGTGTGATGAGCAGACGTAGAGAGAGGCTTCACTATATAGATCCTTGTTGACCATCAGACTGGTGTTTTTTCAAGTGATGAGCAGACGTAGAGAGAGGTTTCACCATATGGATCCTTGTAGACCATCAGACTGGTGTTTCTTTGTGTGATGAGTAGACATAGAGAGAGGTTTCACCATATGGATCCTTGTAGACCATCAGACTTGTGTTTCTTTATGTGATGAGCAGACATAGAGAGAGGTTTCACCATATGGATCCTTGTAGACCATCAGACTTGTGTTTCTTTGTGTGATGAGCAGACATAGAGAGAGGTTTCACCATATGGATCCTTGTTGACCATCAGACTGGTGTTTCTTTATGTGATGAGCAGACATAGAGAGAGGTTTCACCATATGGATCCTTGTTGACCATCAGACTGGTGTTTCTTTATGTGATGAGCAGACATAGAGAGAGGTTTCACCATATGGATCCTTGTAGACCTTCAGACTGGTGTTTCTTTATGTGATGAGCAGACATAGAGAGAGGTTTCACCATGTGGATCCTTGTTCACCATCAGGCTGGTGTTTCTCCAGTAGATGAGCAGACGTAGAGAGAGGCTTCACTCTTTTGATCCTTGTTCACCATCAGACTGGTGTTGTGTCTGAAATTATCCTCGTTGTGTTCACAGTAGTAACCATTGGATCATAACCGAAGGTGTAATAACATCACTACTCGCTGATTTCTCTGTGAAATATTGTTAGTATGGTTAAACGTTATAATACATTCTGCTTGCATAATGCAAACAATTCTGAATGACAGACCGAATATTGAGGAAAGCTGACGGGAGTTAGATCATGACAACCCGCATGTGGGTAGAATGTAGACATCAACATTAATAACATTAATAGATGACTTGAGGTGATTTGTCCTTTCTTGGTGGTCAGAAAACTTGTCAGAATTGGGATAAACCTCGTATGAGTTGTAAATACCGAAAGGTGAGTTGACAAGTCTTTAACTAGAGAACCATAACTGTAAGTTGGAAAAGCACATGGCGGGACTTCCAACAAAAGCTCAAGCTCTCGGGAAATGTGGAAGAAAATTTCAAGCATTTTTCAAGTCAAGTTGTAACTACATGTATTGTATTCAAGCTTGTTATAGAGATTTAAGAAAGAACCATGATACCGAAAAGAAAGAATATTACAGGGAACCACAACTTGAAATATCATCGCTCAGATCGTGGATGCCAGATGAAGCATTGTAGGTAATCAGATATAGAACTGAACCCCAGATATCTGAAGCAGATGGTAATAAACCATAGCTATGGATGGACAAACTTTTTATTTTTTATACCGGAACAATCAGGAGCTCACACATGACTGACAGATTTAGGTTTTGGGGCACCACATTGCAGGATTGGGAGGTCAAGGTCAGGCAAGTAGGCAGTTAGTGTGATTATGCAGCACTAACAGATGAAATGTGTGGTGACAAGTTTGTTTTTGGTCTCCATGATAGCAATATTAGAACTGAACTTCTAAAGACACATCTGAAATCAGACAACACGAATTATCTAATGTCTGATGATGTCAATGAAGCAAAAGCCCTAGCAAGCCAACAAGCTAATTAACAAGTTGACAAGAGGTAGAGAGGAACAAGTGCATTTGACCAAACGCAGCGAAATGAATTTACAAAGGGAACGTGGTGACTGTTGAGGCCCTCACACATTGAAGATATGTTCAGCAAGAGGAAAAAGTTGTGTCAAATGTGGAATGAATGACCACTTTGATATGGTATATGAGAAGTTGTCAGCGCCAGAGCATGTGTCTATTGAGACTGAGAACTATGTATATGCTAAACCACCACCAAACCAAACCATGGGATGACAAGAGATCATATACAATTCAAACTCGGGGTATTAAGATGAGACGGGATCGGGTAAAACAATATCCTGCAGTTGCACCATCAAGCATCATGTACCAGACACCAGCCAAACCAAACAACCTGAATAATGATATTTCTAACCCATGGGTGCCCTGGACCCCACATTGGTACAGGGTGACCAACATGCTGCACCCCACACAGTGCTACACCGAAACCTGTAACAGATGAGCCACCAACTCTACAGCTGCCGCCCACATCCCAAGTATATGCAAGGTACACTAAACCTGGTGAATACCAAGAACCTCCATGTCAACTGCGTCCAGTAGGAATGAAGAGGCTGCCCCAGAGATTAAATTACTATGTGCATAAAACGTGAACATACATTCCTGCAATGAAACTGTGACTCTAATGTAAGCAAAGTGCTGTTGAAGTCAACATTAGGGTCATAACACTCATGAAGATCATCCCAACTTATATCTTTGCTTTTGCTGATTGTTTTTTGTTGGTTTTTTGGTTGATTTTTTTCTTCCAAGGAAAGGGAGATTTTAGTATTGTAATGGTACATTCCGACTGCATGACACAAACTATTCCTAATGACCTACTGGATATATTGAGGAGGGCTGATGGGAGGTAGATCATGGCAACCAGCATGTACGTCTGGGTAGAATAGAGGTGTCAACTCTTATAGACGACTTGAGAGTGATTTGTCATTTCCTGGTAGTCAGGAAACTATATCAATACAACTGAGTATTAATTGCAATAAAAAACGAGTTTTAGCTCTGTTGATTCACCATTCTTACTCCGACAAGGGTAGTTAATTATTTTTTGCTGAAAACATTCGCACATTTAGTACCAATGCTTATACTCAACAACAAAAGTTACTGTCACGCCAATATTTTAGTGTATTTTTCAAACAAGTAAAGTTTGGTTTTCTAAATTGTAATACATGTATGGAATCAAGTCACAAAAACGCAACTGCTACAGAAAATCATGCATTCCATGCAAAAGTTGACTTTTATGCAAGCCCCATGCATTTCACTATCCAAGAATGGGTATAAAAACATGTGCCTTAACGGGATTCCATATGCATTGTTTAGCATCGTGCTGACAACAACCACTCAGAAAAACAAAATTACGCAATTATTCAAGAATATGAAATACCATGCCTGTCCGACAATGAGCGTCTGCGAGCCATTGGTATGCTTGAAGCAGGATCGAGTCAACGTGATGTTGCAAGACAATTTAACGTCCACAGAAACATCATTTGGTGTTTATGGTAACGTTGGCAACAAACGAATGCAGTCAGAGACCCCCCTTCGAGTGGCAGGCCACGCGTAACCAATAATCGACAAGACAACTGGATTCGAACAACACACCTACGAAATCGATTCCAGCCAGCAACAGTGACTGCAAGAAGCATCCCTGGCCTTCGACGAATATCTTCACAATGTGCAGGGATTGTCCCGAGAAGACCCGCCAGACGTCCCATTTTGACAGGAAACCACCGTCAATCACGTCTACAGTGGTGCAGACAGCGTCTACACTGAACGGCCATGCAGTGGGGACAAGTTCTATTCACTGACGAGTCTCGTTTTCACCTCAGCCACAGCGATGGACGGATTCGAGTGTACCGAGGTGAACGTTATGTCAGTCATTGTGTCATGGAAGAAGATCGGTTCGGGGGCGGCAGCGTTATGGTATGGGGTGGGATTACAGCAAGACAGAGGACCCGTTTGATTGTGTAGAGGGAAATCTCAATGGACAGCGCTACCGCGACGAGATCATCGGCCCTGTTGTTCTACCGTTTTTGCGTCGTCATGGCCCAGGCATTTCCTTTCAACATGACCACGCCCGGCCTCATATTGCTCTACTTGTTCAGGATACCCGTCAACAAAACAACGTGAATGTCATCCCCTGGCTGGCTCGCTCCCCTGGTCTCTCACCAATCGAGCACGTGTTGGATGAGATGGATTGGCGCCTTTGACTTCAACCACGTGTTCCACAGACACTCCAGAAACTTCAAAACATGCTCCAGCAGATATGGACAGATATCCCACAGGACTTTGTGCGACGCCTGGTCCATTCCATGAGACGAAGATGTGTTGCTTGCATCGCAACCAGAGGTGGACACACGCTATTGATTTGTAAATTGCCATTTTGGCATGTTCATGTTTTTTTAATGAAATTACGCATTTTCTGAAGCCAGTATGGCAAATTAAACCATTTGAACACTTACAGGAGTCTTTTATCTGTTGCAAACCGAAATTCTTTCAGATTTGGTAAAAAAAACATAACTTTGCATTAAATCTTATTCAATGTCACAGGAACTTTTGTTGTTCAGTATATAAGTAAATAAGACATACTTTCTAAAATTATATGGAGTGATGTTGATGCGAGGATCTGTTAAAGAAAGATTATATAAAGCTATTTTACATGTTTTGAAACCTAGCTGCAGTTATAAATACGGAAATTGTATTTTAAGAGCAAAAGTTGTGAAATGTGCACTCGAAGTAAAAACTTGATTGTATATCTTCTAGTCATTAGGTCGGGCATGCTCAGAAATACTGTTTTCTTTGTAGATTTCTATCATGTATTTGCACGATATGTATTGCAACATATTTTTTTTAAATATTGATAAAACCAGAACTATGCACTCCGTCGCTTATATATAGTTGTACGTATAATTATTGAAGTATGCCCGCCTACTATGACTGTAAAAGAGGTACCACATTTTTTAATATTAGCTTCCGCAGAAAATTCAATGATATAAATGATTTCATTGGATTTATCAAGAAGGACAATTATTATTATTATTATTATTATTATTATTATTATTATTATTATTGTATCAGCAGATAATAGCCAAATAAACCTGTGTGTAGACTTTGCCTAGTTGACCTGATTAGACATCCTGAACATTTGTGTTTTGACTGTTGAACATCTGGTACATATCAGAGTATCAGCATGGTCATTTGTTGGACAGTCAACATGGTAAGAGACCTTATCAGATGAAAGTCCTGACAGGGGCAGTGTGCCTGCCAGTTGGTTTCCCAGGGAAACTAATTCCACCGTTCACGGTCTTTAAATCGGATGTTTCAATTGTGATTGGATATCTCTGACTGACCAATCAAAATGGAGTATATTCCAAATTCATGGTAGAATGTACATTTGGTTGAACGTCATCAATGTCTTTCGTGTAGCCCCAACCTGTATCTTTTAGTTTTCACTGTAAACATGTTCACCTTATCCTGATATCACACTATACGGTAGTGACTCAGAATTAAATCACTATCATTTTAACTGTAGGGTCAAATTGTAAAAAAACAAAAACATACGAGGCACTAAGTCTTGTCTCCATCATGCCTCTCCTGGCTCCCTCTCCCAGAACATTCTGGTCATGTGACTTTATTCAAATAATTACCCCCCTTTGACTGTAAGCCCAAGGCTTGTTGTTGAAGTGATGCCAAGTTTCGTTGTGGCAAGAAGAATATCTAATTAATATATCGAAAAAATGTAACAATATTACTATATAGTTTGTGAAACTTACTGAAAAAGATCTTGTTTTCATAACGTAAAGGATCTTGTTTTCATAACGTATGTCTTTACTGGAAGTATTATATTTTAATAAGAGAAACTAGAGTTAAAATTTCAAACTGCACTCAGTGATCTGCCAAAAAGGAACCTCCATAATCTTCAAATGCCATTACTGCGCAAATCTACACTTGATCGCAATAAGGAAGCTGACATCTATAAATTCTCTTCCTCACAAGGAAGCTGCGTTGTCACACAGAAGTGAAAAATGTTTTCATAAAAACAAGACGAGAATAACATGTTTTAGTCAGAAACAACATTTTGCCAGTTTCTGTAGAATGACACACAGCCCAACCCCAACCCCAACCCCATGCACTTTTGGCATGACCTCTTGACGCTCAAGGTAACCCACGAAGCAACATTTCATTGCAAGACTATACGCGATTTCTGTAGAAGTAGCAGTTATCTCCCTTTAGCTTTTACGGCAATATGGCTGCATCCATAGATCCAGACGAGTATCTTACTTATGAACCATCTTTGAAGAATATAGTAGAGCAAACATCTTTAAAATGGGTCTTTGTCGGTGGAAAAGGTGGAGTAGGGAAAACCACTACCAGGTAATAACCAACAAGGAGAGAAATCCGATCTATCGGAAGCTCAACGTGCAAGTCATTTAGCCTAGTCACACGTCATGGTTTTTGACTCGCTGATATTTTTTTGGCTGATCTTTCCGCGAATGCTTTTCGGAATTTATGTAACATCCATGGTCTTACTAAGACATCTTAGAGAAGGCTCTTAAAATCAGGCATCAAGTGTTGATATGTTTACACGTAAACTTAATTTTATGAGCGCTTCATTCCTCGAGACTATCCACACCCACCAGTTAGGGCTACATACTAGGGCTGGGACGAGTCCAAATTTACCACCCGGGTACCCGACCCCCTATTACCCGACCTTACCCGGATACCCACTGTAGGTCTCAAGAGTCTGATTGTGAATTCTTTTACCGCAGCCCTGGCAAAAACGATCAGATCATGCGTACACTGAAGTTGACTGGAGCTTTATCTTTACTCAAACATATACAAGTCAAAAGGAATGTGTGCATTGTCAGAAAGAAATGCGAACATTAGCGGCTTGTAGCATAACCACTGAGCTGTAGTGGGTTTTTGTAATTAAATATTATAATATATCACGTCATGACCCTAAAATTAGATGCCGAACAGGGATTTGTCTTTGCATTTTCAGAGGCAGACATGAGGGTGGCAGTAAATCATCTTACTGTTGGTAAAAGTTCCCAAATTCCAGTTAAAGATATCCACATTCAGACTGTTATAACTTTTAACTTAATATTTTATAGCTTTTCATACTTGGTTTCACATTACTGTATTGAATGCAATGTTAGAATACCTCTTAATGTGCTAAATGTACAAATATATGAACCTTACAACACTTCCCAATTTGCCCACTATGTTGATATTCATTGTGGTACCGGTACATTGCTACGCTATTCAACTGTCAACAGGTATACTGGTTCTATACATGCAAAGATGTTCAAGATCCAATCCCATTTGAAGGGATAGTACATCGATGGTTCTATGTGTTTTAAAATCATGCATGACTTGATTTCTGAGTGTGACATCACATGATTCAACCCAAACAATAGAGCTCTGCACAGCGCAAGCACTGAACAGAGTAACTGGTTTCAGATGTTTTTTACTAGAAGCAAATTGAAGTAAAAGCTTGTGTGTTTTTCTTACGGATGAATTACCAAATACTGATTGTCAGCTTCATTAGATTAGAAGCCAGTGTTTATCAAAACATAGATTACAATAAAAATATGCCTTGGTCTTATGAAGCCAATCACTCTCCTACACAGAGTTCCTTGCAGCCAGCCTAGTACCTCTGTCACATCTTACACAGTTCACTTTATGTGTTTTTCATCTCTTTCATTTTGAACGAGTCAACACATTGTTATAAACATAACTTTCATGCTAGCAATACAGTCACTTTGATGTGTAAAGGCATATTGTCATGCACCTCACTGTCACAGTTGTAGCTGTGTATCTGTATAATAATGCAAAACAATATGTAAAGCGCACCAAAAGGATTGCATTTGGCCCGTTTGTTGTTATTTCATAATAGTTGCGTACGTTTATTAACTAGAGAAAATTCAGGTCACATGACAAGCCTTACTCGTCATGGTGGTCATGGAAACTAAACAACCTGACAGTGATTAAGGAGAGCAGAGCTGAGTAAGCTCGGTGGGTATCCATGGTATCAGCTATTGTTTACAAACAAATCTTTGGATTGCTAGATGTCCTGTCCCTTAACAAAGTTTTTGAACCAGATTGCTGCACATATTCCCATTCATTTTACAATCTGTGATGAAGTTATGCTGTGTTGTGTGTTACAGCTGCAGTCTTGCTGTTCAGTTGGCCAAGAAAAGAGAGACTGTTCTCATGATCTCAACAGATCCTGCTCATAACATTTCTGATGCATTTAACCAGAAGTTCTCAAAGGTTCCAACTCTTGTGCAGGGATTTCCTAATCTCTATGCCATGGTAAGTGCAGGTTTTGTATTACATTATGAAAACATTCGTTGTTTCATCCCTGACAGACAAACAAGGGCATTCCTTGAGGGGTTTAAAAGATAAAGAGTTAAAAGAAATATTCGAGTCAACAAAGTCAGGCAGGTAAATCCCTGTCATACGAATGTGTACCTGTCATGTTTAATGACTGTTTAATGACCGCTTACAAGCACAGTACTTGGGTGAATTGAATTAAATTTTGAAGACTTAGAAAATACTTGTCTTTGCTTACATGTTGAAAGAACCTCTGCACAAAATGCACATGCCATATGGCAGCGGCCATGTTCACGGAATACTGATGTCGATTTTATAAAACTCTCTGATTGGACTATCGATATAGTCCAATCATATTTAGCACAGGAAGGTGTGCTTGATGTGGCAAGAGTGGAAACTAGACTTTGATAAATTGGCTCGTGGACGCTCTTGCCTCAGGAAGATGACCTGGTCCAGACAAACCAATGGTTGACACCATGAGCAACAGTTGTGGTAGGATGATACTCATGACCAAAGTTGGGTCACACACTGTTACCTTCCAGTCCCAAACTTGAGTTACAGGTTCTGGGGACATATGCTGCCTTGGTTTTCACAGAAGCAAGAACTACACAACATACCTTGCAATGCTGTTTGTGATTCTATATTAGGCCACACATATTTAATTCTTTGTGTCAAGGGCCTGCCGCCCCTACTGAAAAGCAGCTGGAAAAGGAATAAATTAAACATAAAGATGTTTATTTTTACTATGTCTCTTGCTGGTAATATAGACCCTCTTATACAATACAAAATGTTATATATAAATTCCATGTCTTCATCACTATCAGTGATTCAAGAGGCCAGCTACAGTTTTAGCTCCACAGCAGAATGACTTTCTTATAATAAATAAATGATTGACATTGCTATTTATTTTTATTTCAACCGACCTTGTAGGGAAAAGCTGGAATACATCTGTGAAACATTAAATTAAAAATGTGTGGGCTTTCATGTATTAGAATAGCACTGCATAGTGTTGTGTCTCTGTTGACCATAATGTTCAGGTTCAGGCCGGTCCAGTTGTGTAAGGAGCCACAGTTTGCTGCATCACAATACTTATACCACAACCAATTTGACCATATACTTACATGATAATACATGGGCATCATCATGATCATAAACATATCTTATTGTAACTATGTTGATTGTTGAAGACAGGATTAACTTATGTCTTTCTTATTCTTTCAATGCAATGTTTCAGTACAGATAGTAGTATCATTTTCAAGCACTAAATTCAATCCTTCGTCACTTGTTCACTTGTCATGCTGATGGCCCAAGTTCGATTCTATAGTGTATTCTCCTTGTAGTTTACATCTTGTGTGATACAGTTTCCCGGAATATCCAAAGTACACATTATCTCGTTACGTCATATGATGACGTCATGTATGGATGCGATGTCTGAGTAAACTATGGTGGCTTCCTTCCATGTTCTGTTGTGTTTGGCATGGCACACAGGCGTTCATACTCCCGAGTATAAATGTGTGAATACATGTCAGATTCCCCACATAGGTACAATGTGTTAATCCCATTGCTGGTGTCCCCTGCCATGATATTGCTGGAATATTGCTAAAAGCGACGTAAAACCATACTCGCTCATTGATACAACAGCATCTATGTCGTGCTGTTTAATGATGTTGTAACTCCTAGTGGAGTTGTATAGCCTAGTGGTTCAAGCATTTGCTTGTCACGCAGAAGATCCTGTTTCAATTCACCACCTGTGTCTAATGTGTGAAGCCCTTGACTAGTGTTCCCCAACAAGTTGTGCCATATTGCTCAAAGCGGCTTAAGACCAATACTCACTCACTAAACATCAATGGCCTTTGTTTTTATTGAATATATACTGACAGGAATTAAGATGCATAAACAATATTAATATGTAAGAATATTTAGATACATGTTCATCGTAGATCCTGTAATTTATTATCTGTGGTTCTTAATCTTTCTATCATCTTTTCCAGGAAATTGACCCAAATCTGGGTTTCTCTGAGTTGCCAGATGAATATTTTGAACAAGGTAAGAACCAAATGTCACATAAAATTATATAAGGTATACTGTGCATATGTATAGTCTGTCAGAAGAATAACTTTCTATGTTTTTTTCCCACCACAATGAGGCTGTGGCCATCTGACCCACCATCCTAAGAAACTTTGAAACAACACCTGTGAGGATTCGGGATGAGAATAATAGTGCCCAGCAAGTTATGCTTGTCGTAAGAGGTGACTCAATAGATAGATGGTCTGTCTTGATGACTTGATTGATGTCAATCACCAGATTGTCTGGTCCAGACTTGATAATTTACAGAGTGTTGTCATATAGGTGGAATATTGCTTTGAGCGGTGTTAAACAGTGAATAAACAAGAATTGATTGATGATTAATGATTTTTTGTTGTTTAATGCCGCACTCAACAATATTCCACCTATATGACGTCAATCTGTAAATAATCGAGTCTGGACCCGACAATCCAGTGATTGACATCATGAGCATCGATCTACATAATTGGGATACAATGACATGCTTAACAAATAAGAAACAGCTTAGACACAATGCTGTAGTGATAACTGTCTTGTACAGGTTGGTGATGTTGTATGAAAGGAATCATCCTTGATTATCCAGTGCACATTATATCTGCATTCTATTATATTAAATACTCTGAACCCATGTGTCAGTGTTGCTTTGTTTCGATGGAACCGTTAACGTTTTGTGAAGGACACAAAGTTAATAATACCATCAGATTACACCATTCTTTCTCTCCTTATTGCATTACTGGTATCCTCATTGCATTACTGTTACACATATTGCATTACTGGTATCTTTATTGCATTACTGGTATCCTTGTTGCGTTTTTGGTACTCATATTGCATTACTGGTATCCTTATTGCATTACTGGTATCCTTATTGCATAATTGATTGTGACTAATACAGCTGGGAATGCTGTCACTTCCCTAATATAAAGCTTTGGAGGCTGTGGTCCAGGATTTATATCCTGATAGAATAGAGGATGAATGCCACATCTGTGTTTCAGCCGACATGATGAACATGGGGAAGAATATGGTACAAGAGTTGCTTGGAGCTTTCCCTGGTATTGATGAAGCTATGAGCTTTGCTGAAGTGATGAGGTTAGTCTTGAACAACAGTAGGTACAGGCAAGGGTGGGTGGGGGTTAAAGTGTTCACTTGTGACATCAAAGAACTGGGTTCGTTCTCCAACATGTGTACAATGTCCATCTTAAGTGTGAAGCTGCAATACAAGTCAAAGTTGGGAAAGTCCCTCTCATTCATTTTGCAAAGAACACCATCACCAATTTTAAATCTTCTGAGGAAAATGTAGGTTCCCACATACCATATGTACTAATATCATTGAATAAAATAATAAAATATCAAAGCAGTATTGAAAGTCAGACACCCTTCAATTGAAAAAAAGGTATCTACACATCTATGGATTCTTTTGGTTTTTTTTATGGAGTGTGTGAATGTTTTGAATGAAGGACCTGACATCTTTGACTTTTAGAATATTGTTGATGGGTCAGTCCCTATGTTAATTCTAGGCAAGGCCAGTATTGTTTCCTTTCACTTTGTTTATCTTTTGTCAGTCTTTACAGGAGGTAAGCCATATAAAAAATGTTCTGCCTTCAAATATATGTACCGGTAATAGGAAGAATACCAAGAAGGAGATGTTTCAAATGAGCACATTTTTTACGCAAAACTAGAAAATATTTTGTCTATTTCAGTTCTTAAAATATAGAGAGGTTGTAGAAAAGTCAAGAAAATCAAATTGGCCTTGCTTATTGTGTGAAGAACTGAGCTACTCAGGTGTTGCATGTGTTCCGTTTTCTGCTGAAGGCAGAAGGTGTTGTCATGCTGGAGTGTGCAGCCTGACAACCAGCACTGACTGCATTGTACAAGTAAACAAACCGTATTTGTGTCAGCAGTCCGTCAAATGACATTGTAGGCCAATTTTGCCACAACATCATATATGTGGACTACACTTGTGATTGAATTGTGCAAGTGCATTTACAATTTAAAAAGGAATGGATTACAGTTTAGAAGTAAAATATCTTCAATGATGACATGGCTTTGCTTTTCAACTATGTGTCTGTTTCTACCACACAGGCTTGTAAAGAATATGAATTTCTCAGTGGTAGTGTTTGACACTGCCCCAACCGGCCACACACTTCGTCTCCTGTCATTCCCAACTGTTATAGAGAAGGGTCTTGGGAAACTGCTTCGCCTCAAAAACCAAATCAGCCCTTTTATTTCCCAGGTAAGTTGCTTTTATCTCAACCTACTACTACACACACACACACACATGTACATATGATTATATTTCCAGCTTTGTCAGCACAATGCCCATGGTTCATTTCAGGCTTTCCTCCCACATTAAGCTGACACACTGTGATATGACTGAAATACTAATCAAAGTAGCATCAAACCAAGCTCACTCACTCACCATGCTCACACTCTTATTAAATTTTCAAAGGTATATGAAAGGTTTCAGTGTAAATCTCTCTTAACAAAAGGTTAAACTTTTGCAATTGTCACCATTATCAGCTTGATTACTACAAACAATTAATGTTTTGAGATGAAATAAGTAGGTACAGGTACTGGGTAACTTTATAAAGTCAGTCTGCTAGTCACACTAAGTATATGATGCATTTAAACAAATTACAACCGTGTCAAAACAACACTATACACTTTCATGATAATTTTGACCATACCTTGTGTATTTATTCTGAAAACATTCTTCAGAACATCATTTAGCTTCTGTTTACCATACCAGGCATTACCTTTCTGTTGATATTATCTATGATGGGGGACAGTTCTGATGTTTCAAACAGAGATGGTTATTCTGATTTGATACAATGTACTTCAGATTGACCAATCAGAATCAAGTATTTCCCAATTTCATGGTAGAGTACCAGTAGTTTATTTCCAGCTGTAAGTGTCAAACAAATGATCCTTCATTTGACCTCAAGTCTGGACATGACTGGTAAATGATGCTGTGTTTGCAGATGGCAGGCATGTTGGGGATGCAAGACTTGAATGCTGATCAGATGTCCCAGAAGTTTGACGACATGCTGGTGACCATCAGACAGGTCAACGAACAATTCAGGAATGCGGTAAGTGTAGTTCACATATATTAGCAATCTCCCCATGGGCTACTTTGAGATTTTGTTAGAATTTAGCCACAACTTATTTGTGTGTTTTCTCTTTGATACACAGCAATGGTATTTTACATTAGTGGATATCCAACCATCGACAGATTCTTTTGGCACAGGACCTGGTTGTATCAAACATTAATCATTCATTAAGGTGTCACTATGCTTCCATGAATTAATGTGCCTTTGAATTCTGTTTTATCAAACTTTTCATGACACAATCAGTATGTTAATGGACCATTAGGTTATGGAGGATTGAGGACACCATTAATTTGTCATTATACAAGGTTCTGCAGGCTTGAAAAGGCCTTGACTTTTAAGGTCCCTCTGGAAAAACCTTGATCTTTAGTGTCAACCTTGAAAAGCCTTGAAAATCACCAAAATATCTTGAATAGCCTTGAACTTGTGCTAAATGACATATACTTGTTTATGAAAGCATTACAGTTTATTTATTTGTTGGTTAAATAAATCTTGTTGGAAAATTAGTGATTTTCGTAGTGTGTCTTTGTTCTTATGACTAATATAGTATGCCGGATTTAAAAAAATATATTGACAGACAGTCTAATAACCCAACAAGAAAAGCCTTAAAAATGACAGTTGAAAGCCTTGAAAATGCCTTGAATTTTAGTGTTCCACATCTGTATGAACATTCTTATACCAAACTTGCCCAAAAAGGTGCTTTAATTGTGTTGATAAAACACAGGGGTCTGATAAAAAACACATCACAAACTGAATGTTCGAAGTGAAGAATTCAAGAGAACTGCTACTAGTAATGTCACTCCACAGATGACAAGAAGGTGAAAGTGCTTGTTTGCTGAAATGGAATTGTGGGAAAATCATAGGGGAATACTCTAATATAATGTCACGTTAATGGAAATTGTACACTTAAAGTATCATTAGTTAATTATAGTTATAAAAGATAGCTTTCAGCCGATGAAACATTATGCATTTATTGACTGTTAGGGTTAAATGATCCCATTAGTTCATTAAATTTCCATACAACCGAGTCCTGGTTATTTATGAATCCAAAGGCATCTGTGAACCAAAGAATTACTTCTAAGGCTTAGCCCAGAATGTTACATTTTCTTTGTGACAAGAAAAAAAAAATTCTTAGACCATTAATCACGGTATAAGACAGCTTTTCTCTGTTGCTTTTCATAAATCATTGCCTATAAATGATGTTAGTCTATTATAAATGCTATTCTAATCATGATCTCTGACCCCAGGACCAAACAACATTCGTGTGTGTGTGCATCGCTGAGTTTCTGTCTCTGTACGAGACAGAGAGACTGGTCCAAGAGCTGACTCAGTACCAGATCGACACTCACAACATCATCGTCAACCAGCTTCACATGGCAAAGAAAGGGGAAGAGCCGTGCAATCTCTGCAGAGCTAGGCAGAAGATACAGGCCAAGTATCTGGACCAGGTAAATGCTGGACCTAGAATGAATACGCTTGTTGGGATGTGTGGGTAGAGAAGTTCCTCAGTACCCCATGCTTGTTGTAAGAGCCATCAAAAGTGAGGATCCATTAGTTACAATTCTCTGAATGATAGGGTGTTATCCTGCCCTTGCTTTCATCATCCTTAGACCTTTAACCACTAGTGACTCAAAATGATGACTCTGCAAAAGGCTTTTACTGAAACCCTCCTAAACTAGCATGTCTGTGTGTCCATCCTTAATCATTTTATGGTCTAGATGAGATAACATAAACTCACCACCTACCTCCCTAACTGGGATATGTGGCCAGAAACAGATGGTTTAATTAGGATTTAATATTGCTGATTGGGTGCAAGTCAACATTAAGTCACTTCAATTTATACCCGTAAAGAACCGGGGTTGAATTGGACTTCAACCCATTCTTGCAGTAAAAGGCGACTATGCTTGTAAGAGGCGACTAACGGGATCAGGTGGTCAGGCTCACTGATCGCTGGATTGTCTGGTCCAGACTCATGTTAATTACAGACCGCCATCATATAGCTGCAATATTGCTGAATGTGACATTAAACAACAAACAAACAAACTTCTTTAAAGTTTGTCCTTTAGTCAGCAGACAAAACATTTAAAAAAAGAAAAAGAAAAGAAAATATTATTCAAACTTATTATGCATAATTTTTCCACATTTCCAGATATCTGACTTGTATGAAGACTTTCATATAACGAAACTGCCCCTGCTAGATACAGAGGTCCGTGGTGTGGACAAGATCAAATCTTTCTCCAAACACTTGATGGAGCCCTATTCCCCCGACTAACGACCTCCTGGCCTATGTCACCTGGACGAGAGGACCCTCCTTCATCTGTGTAACAAATAACTACCGTAGTCACCATGTCATTACAATCAGACCTTTATTCCAATACAGTACCTTTCTGTGTGATGATCTGACAACCCTTCCACAGAAGGTCCGGTCAGGTCAACTTTCTAATCGGCCAATCAGCGTTTAAGCACTCAGAGCAGTATATCTGATTTGTGTATCAAATAAATGAACTTAAATAACCAGTTCTGAATGTAAATAAAAGAAGAAATGTCATTATAAGGTTGTGGATATTTAATATATCAACACCCAAAACTGAGTACCATCAAAGGAATATTTGCGGTCTGTGTTTGCTTTCTTTTGTTAAAAATAAAAATTTCCAAATCAAGGTGGTGAAGAGATGGAAGCTGAATCAGTTTAGAAAGCTGACATCTGTTTGGCTCAAGAAGCAATGCATCTTTCATTTAAAATGGGTGGTCAAATTTCATTCAAGGTTCACCCGATGAGCCCTTTTATGGTGGGGTTGTCAGATCTTCACACACAGGTACCGTGTCAGAGTAAAAGATTTGCTTTTAATGAGATTGCTGTGGTCCGTTTCTGCTGGCAACAGGAAGTATTCAAACAAGTAGACTTTGGCATCAAATATGAGTTTGCATTTGTTATATTTTTTCATAAAACATTTTGCAAATTGTTTTTTTTGGATAGGTATTTTTATTCTTTGGCAAAAATTATATTGTTCTCTTATGCCAAAAAAAACCAGGGCTCAATTCCCCAGTTGGTTGCAACGCTATTGTGTGCACCCGATCATGTTAGTGTTGCAATTTTTCTTAAAGCAAGGTAAAGCCCTATTTGCTAACTCAAGTTATGATGAAATTTTTGTTAAACAGGAGCACAACCATGGCAACCATACAGTCTATGATTATGTTAATGTTTGTACTTTAATTAAGTATCTTGACTGCCTTTAAGTTTTCTTTAAACTGGTGAAGAGTTATGGCAAGGATCCCATCCTAAACAGCATCCTTGTGTATCCAGTGTATGATATCTCCAATATGTCTCAATTTCAACTGGGAACTTCAGATAAGACATTTTGATTGGTTGTTGATTTGAGGTCATGTGCCAGAGATGTTCTTATCCAAGGTAGAGACAAGAGAGATAGCTCGGAGAGACATCCTTCATTAGCCAGGGTTTTTTATCTCAATTCTATTATATTTAACACCCTTGACATTGGTGCTGTTATAGCTTTGTTTTGAGTCAGATTTTATTTGCATTATAAAGCATCTAATCAGTTACACTCATGTAAATTCTGTGGGAAGTTATGATAAGAGAGATTGATATAGTGACATCACTTCCCAAATGAAACTATGGTCATGAATTTACGCAGGGTATTTATTGTAATAGAAAAGAGAAATAATTCCCTGGGTAACTGAGGGTAATAAACAGGACCAGGATTTCCCTGACAACTGAGGAGTGGTTCTCTACAGGTGTAGCCATGTTGTCAGGCTGTAGTTTGTGGGTGTTTTCTGTACTGTGTATTTACCTAAATATGGTACGTGAAGCCTGTGTGAATGAATGAAAGGTTTTACAAATATTTGTTTGGTAAAATTCTATCCTGTATGTTCTTTCATTTGATTGAACATTTATAGTATGTTCATTTCAGTTACTCAGAGACTTTTCTTGCATCTAAAGAGCTTGTGTTTCAATAGCCTGAGGTGAAAATTTGGTATGACTGGAATTAAATTAATGACAAGCATAATGGCCATGAGAAAAGATATTCTACTACATCTCTTCAGAAGTTAAGCAGTAATTGTCACCTTGCATGGTACATGTACATATATTTATTTCACTACTACGGCCATTTAGATGACTGTGGTCTGTACAGAGTTGTCTCCCTTAGCAATGCTAGGATCTCCTGACCATGGGTTTGAATCCTAGATTTGCCCTGATAATGACCCTTGGTTTGTCAGCACCACACCCAGGCTGTTGGGTATCATCAAAGTGTCGACAACCTGCATCGCTTCAGACTTTCCGCCCACATCAAGCTGACATGATATGAGGGAAATACTTGAGATGTCAAAGCCAACCTTCTCCCTCTTACCTTTGTAATACTTTCGATAGTATAAAGTGCATGTATTTGTCTGATGAATATATGAATGATTTTACTTTGTTGCCAGTTTGGTTTTGCCCCTTTTTTGAATAAATCATGGAAACATTCTCAGTTTAATGATCAGAAATCACAACAGTGCCCTGATTATTTGAATTGCCAACAGTAGAAATTAATTAGGAATCACTTTCCTGTTTTTTGCGACATTTTGAAGAAATGCATTCTTAATGGGCATTATGTAAATATGAATTGATTGTTTATGTAACTCAAATATGTCAGCTTATGTGTCCTGTACTTCTTGTTGATGTCAAGTGAATGGTATACTTCTGTGAGTTCTACCTCCAACCATAGTTTCTGATTACTTTTTATTAATAATGATAGCACTCGACTGAAAAGGGTAATTATGTCAATATCATTCTTAATCTTCAGATCCATGTATGTTAACAAAATAAAAGAACACTTCTATGTCCAGTCATTGTTTGAGTCTTGTATAGTGTACTCTTGTCATGCAGAAGACGTTGCAGTTTGTTTTCCCCACTTTTGAAAATTACATTTGGACCCCGATGACAAAAATACCTTATTATTTAAATGCACATGTGAGTTAAAAATGTGACATTTGAGCCTTCACACCCACTCACACTGAAGTAAAGATTTCAAATTTTGAAGCCCCCTCCTTTGAAAATTACATTTGGACCCCAATGACAAAAATATCTTATTATTTAAATGCACATGTGAGTTAAAAATGTGACATTTGAGCCTTCACACCCACTCACACTGAAGTAAAGATTTCAAATTTTGAAGCCCCCTCCTTTGAAAAATCCTAGGTCCCCTATAGTTGTTTGTTTTTATTGTGCAGAGTTGCGCCCCTTAGTCACGCTGGAAACCTATGATTGTTTGTTCAAATACCCGTTCGCCATAATACTTTTCTAGGTTTGTCAGCACCACCCCTGTGCTCGTGGGTTTTACCAAAGTGGTAAACGTCTGAGACCTGCATCACTTTGGGCTTTCCTCTCACATAAAACTGACACACCTGGTATAACTGGAATACTGTTCAAAGCGGCATTTATTGCATTGGAGGTGTTATGAAAATCTCAGCAGTGACAGTTTTATCTGATCTTAATTGGCATCTAGCTCACAAAATCAACCACTGGTCTGTCCATCCAGACATTCAATTGCTGTGAAAGCGGTTAAGTTTGGCTTAATGTGTGAAGCCCATTTCTGGTGTGAATTGTCTTGAAAATTGCTAATAGCCATGCGAAACTACTTGCTCACCCACAAGCTCTCTCTGGTCCAGGCAGGATAACATTACATGCTGTGATCATATAGCTGTACTTTCCTCATCTATTGCCTTACACAACACTCACTCATTAATAGCAGCAATGCGCTATTGGTTGCCATCATTGTCAAATGAGTTTTCATTTAATGAGCAATCTTTGCTCCACCCCCTACACAAAAGAGCACCAACTGCACTCAACACTTACATCGATAAAACATATCCATAGATAGTTTAGTTGTCATTGCAGCCAATCCAAACAGTTTCAGCATGATTGGCTTTTATCATTCCAGACCAACTGTTAAAATCTGCTTTTGCGGATTAGGCGTTTCTGCCCACACTGGATGAAATCAAGGGACCTGACATTTCTAGTTCTCAATAGGGTAACGTGTGGTGTCTGGACCCATGTGTCTGAACCATGATGAACTGATTGTCCACTCCTTTCACGTAGCAACCGGGGCTGTCGGATAGCCTGGTGGTTAAAGCGCTCGCTCGTCACGCCGAAAACCCGGGTTCGATTCCCAACATGGGTACAATGTGTGAAGCCCATTTCTGGTGACCCCGCAGTGATATTGCTGGAATATTGCTGAAAGCGGCGTAAAACCATACTCACTCACTCATTCACTCACGTGAAAAACCTTTGTGGGAATTCAGGGCAGAATATGTTCAAATACCCAGATATGGTTTGGGCGACGGTACATAAGTTGTGCAGTCAGTCTGATTACGTTTTTAGGTTTGCCAGCTCCATACCTGTGCTTGTGGGTTTCAACAATATGGCAGACGTGTAACATCTGCATCAATCTGGCATTCTCTTCCAACATTTGTTTGTTTGTTGTGTAACGCTGCACTCGGCAATATTCCAGCTATATAACGGCGGTCTGTAAATAACCGAGTCTGGACCAGACAATCCAGTGACTGACATCATGATCCACGCAATTGGGATACGATGACATGCATTAACCAAGTCAGCAAGCCTGACAACCCGATCCCGTGAGTCGCTTTAGACAGCAAGCATGGTTTGCTGAAGACATATTCGAGCCCGGCTTTTCACGGGTTTCTTCCAACGTGAATTTGACATGCCGTGATATAACTAACATACTAGAACGCACGTATTATTTGTCCCCAAGTACCAACAGATGGAGAGCATCTCAAAATGTGTTCCCTTCTTTCTATACTTGAAGACATGCACCATTAACCTTGGCCATCAAACGTTCACGCTCCTCATGAACCACAACCATCGACAGGTAATGTCCACAGATGCCTTTAACAATTTTTGCAAAATACGAAAAATAGCGCGAACTCCACGTGCAGCGCGTCACACTCCACCACAGTCCCATGTTCAATGGCAATGGACTTTTCCGTTGTACGCGAACGCCTACTGTCTCAAATCGAGGTGCTCACACCAATTCTTTCTTAAGTTTGTTTAGCAGTTATGATATTGAACCGTCTTACATTTACTGTATTTGATCATCCAATAATCTTAACAGTGTGAAACGAGTGTGACCGGGGTATATGAGACAACGTGAGTGAGTTTATTTTTCGCTTTCAGTCAACTCGTGCTAAAACTGGCAAATTTATGTAAACTATTCTTGCTTTCATAACTGTTCATATGTGACAAGTACATACCATCTTCTCGGCAATTAAACAATTAAATTTACGGGTTCAAACCCTACCCGTGAAGATACGGGTTAGAATAGGTTTTCAGCAACAAATTATTGACAGACCGCCGTCATATAGCTGGAATATTGCTGCGCAGCGTTAAACAAAAACCCCCAAACAAACAAAAACAAAACGGGTTCAGACCAACAGGATTTTTTACCTACAGTTACGTTATCACATTATTTTACATGTGTTCAATACCGAGTGAGATTGTCAGGGACACGTAATAACCGTTCATATACTCTCCGGTAAATATTGCAAAGTTCCATAACCCGGAGGCTCTTTTCCCTCTCTGCTTTCTGGGCCTGATGAAGGGCCTGGTTTATCCTTGTCTGCATCCTTCTCGATGCCAACTCATGTTTCTTGTCCAGATCCTGAAGTGACCGCTCCAACTTTCCCTTGAGGACAAAATGTTCTCTGCGTATGCTCTTCCACATGCGACGCTGACTATCTGTGCTCGTGTAGGTTGTTTCCATTGTTGTTCAACTGGTTATTTCCATTGTTGTTCGGGTAGTTTTTCCTGTCGAGAGAAACCGTGTTGTTGAGCCAGTTTGTCAGAAGTTAAGGTGACAGGCACTTCTTGACAATTTACAGGACATGTTCATGTAACTTGTCTTTCTTTCGAATGCTTGTTTGGTTCATATTTTCAAACTTCAAGATAAAATCTAACTTTAGCAAATCCGGGACAATTCTGCTCTATGTTATAACATCTGTCTCCAAAAAACATCAGTTCCGATCAAAGACTTGCTAGTGTTCAAATGCTAAAAAACCGAAATACTTGTCCAGTTGGCATGCATGTGAACACATTTGAGATATTTTATAACCTTTTCAAAACATTTTGCTATCATTTTGTAAATTTTGCAGATATTTTGCAAAAACCCCGGACCTTATCATACTTTGTCCTTTCAGTACAAGATTCGGATAATATTTGACGGTATATGTGTGAGTGAGTGAAGTAAACGCCGCTAAATATGAACAATATTTCTGTTATATTACGGCGTGTCCGTCCATACTTCTAATGTGGGAGGACAGCCCTAGGTGATGCAAGTCATAGACGTGTTCTACATTGGTGAGGTGAGGTGAGGTGAGGTGAGGTGAGGTGAGTTGAGGTGAAATGGGGTTTAACGTTGCGTCCAAGATTATTGGACTTGTGTATGCACGTGTGTGTGTGTGTGTGTGTGTGTGTGTGTGTGTGTGTGTGTGTGTGTGTGTGTGTGTGTGTGTTTGTGTGTGTGTGTGTGTGTGTGTGTGTGTGCTAATGAGATGCCATGTTTAACATGAATACCCCACTTAGACACAGCATACTGACTCCGAGCCGGCCAGTCCTTGTTTAAGCCCCTTAATGCCGAGCGCCAGACAGGGTAACAACAAGTACTATCTTTAAACGTCTTTTGGTTTGACGCGGCAGGGGATCGAACCCCGACCTTCCGCTCTCCGGGCGGACGCTCTACCACATTGATGAAACATACAAGCTGACAATTCTCCTGACAATATTTGTGGAAGTAGGAAAATACAAGAATTGCACGCAACACTCACCAGTATATGATTGCTGAATATCCGACATATTTCACAAACCCAGCTAAGCATTCACTGCCATTTCATGGTTATATGAAGGATTTCAACCAACTGGACAATCATTCACATTAACCTTTCGTCTTAAAGTTGTTATGCGGCAGACGCAAAGTTGGGAATTCTCAGCATTGTGGTTGAACATAATTTTTCCATTATGAAACGTTTGAGCATAATGGTCATAAATCTAAATCAAATGACCTTTTGTGGAATGCTTTTAAAAACTTCTTTACGTTTACGCTTCCCTCGAATAATATTCAAGGTCAATCCCTATTAACTCAGGCCAGAAAAAATGCAGAAACGGGAAGTGAGCTTGGACCCGTTTAACTCCTGCGTTCACCAAGCATAGCGGCATGTCAATGGGAAGTGTTTATGCTTTGTCGCCTAGCTTTTGAACTTGTAGCTCTGGTTTACTCGACTTATTCCGCTAACGACATAATACCTCGCGCAGCATAAAGTAGTGATATTGCACGGTATTATTTTGTTGTTGTAGGCCGCACTCAGCAACACTCGATCTATACGATGGCGGCATGTAAATGTTCGAGTCTTGACCGGACAATCGAGTGATTGATATTACGAGCAACGACGCCGTCGACGTCCGATGTATCTTCCCGAGGCAAGTGAGTTAACTGACTATAAAAGTCCAGTTTCCACCCTTGCCGAACAAGGCTGGGATTATGGAGTTAGATTTTGGCTGGACTAACGATTCTATGCATAGTCCAATCAAATTCGCGAACCGAAATAAAAATCTGGTTCGTAAACTGTCATGCAGAGTTCGGTCGATTGCAGGATTTGCAAAGCATGTGCATCGCCAACTCGTTGTCAACAGATATTTTCCAAATCTTTTCATGTTTTTAATCAAGGTGCTCACGTGATTTGATGTACTTCGCGAAGTAAGAACCGTTTATCACAAAATAGATCTTTATGGTCGATCAGATCGTCTTGACTGGGCACCGCCATATTGTTTTAA